AGAAGAGATGGCCGCCATACACAATGCTAGTGCTTTTCTGTCACTTACTGTGGAGAAGCTCTGTAAGCGTCGGGAATTTGCTGTCCGCCCGAAGCCTCTCGTTGACGCGCTCTTCGGCCGAAGCAAGCCCGCCATCTGTGGTGGGGTTCTGGTCGCTCATTCCTAAATCTCAAGAACTATGTGAAGGAGCTATAGTATAATCTAATTGGGAAAATAAAAGGGAATAAAATTTGCAAGGCGAAGAAAACCGACACTCGTCGCGTTCTGGAAAGAGAGGCCAGAGCTGGAGCAGGCAGAAGCAAAAAAGTCATCGCTACTGATCCCCTCGATCATGCGATCAAATGTCCCCACTCAAGTGCACCCAAATGGCTATTTTTTTTGCAGCTCTCTTTTCATAGCTTTCTCACTTTTTTTTTCTTTATTCCAAATGGGCGCACACAAAAAGACTGTCGACAAGAAACTCGCGCTCAAGCGCAAACTACAGACCACCAAGCGCACTGCGCACGTAGGCAAAACCACACATGACGAGCTCAAGGCCCGGCGGAAACAGATGAAGCATTTGAAAGCCGCCCTTGCGCCCTCCTACGCCTCCACAAAGCACAGCCGGCCGCCGCGACGTCCGCATGGCCCTCGACCGCTCGCTTCTAGAAGATAAAGATCTGTCCGAGCGCCTGCGCGGAACTGCGCCTATACCGACCAACGCACAGCTTCTAAACAAGGCAAAGGAGGAGCGCGAGGCCATGGCGCTGGCATACGAGAACCAGCAGAAGGCACTGAATACAACTGTCGATGAGCTAGCACAGTTAATGAGTAAATAAACACTGAATAAGCTTAAACTGACTTGTGCGACTCCGACTGCGACTGCACCACCAGAATACTGGCGGACGTGCCGAATCCCAGAAGGTGCTCCGGCACCACGCCTAGGGCACGCTGCCGCTCGGGCTTCGTGAATGTGTGGCCTGCGGGTCTGTGTTTCTGCAGCTCCAGCGCAAAATACCCTGTGCCCAGGGAGCGCCCACACACAATCAGATCGTTCCGCGCCAATCCACGCGCCCGCAGCAACAGCGTCTGCAGTGGCGTCGCCGTAGCGATTGTCTCCAGTGACGTGTTTGCGAACTGTGTGGCCAATACCCCAGCGGTCTCGTTGGTCTCAGCGGTCCCAGCGGTCCCAGCGGTCTCGTGGGATGCATTGCGGAACCACAGCTTCTGCGTGATCTTCTTGCGCAGCCCGCTGTCGTCTGCAGCCCCATCAAGCTGCAGTGCGGTACATTAGTCTCCGGCAGGGGGTTATGCACTGGCGACCCCAGCAGGGACGCACTGCGCGGCTGCAAAAGCTGGTCAATAAAGACCGCATCCTCCTGCCCGCTCCCTCATCGACCCTGGTGGCCATGGCTTCAAGGCTCTGCCTCTCAGCTTCCTTAAGCGTCTGTGCCCAGGGGTCAACCTCGTTCTTGAGCCCGCCCTTGGTCTGCACCGCCGCTGGCGAACTGGGAATCGCCGGTCGTGCCTGGGAACCGCTCCTCGCTCAGCACGACGTCCTGGCTGGTTGGCGCGCTGGCCTTGACAAACCGCCACACAACAACCTGCACGTTCGCGTTCACGCACAGTTCGCTAGCCAGCTGCAGCGCCAGCGGTCATCCGAACCGCCAAAGAACGGCACCACGATACGCGGCGCCTCATGGCTCTTGGGTGCATCCGCCAGGGCTGCCAGCTCGCTGCCGTCAGACAATCCCAGGTCAATGAACACGCCGATGTGGCCAGGCGCTTACTGAACAGGCCTGAGATGAACTCGGCCTGCTGCAGGGTCGTGAAGCCCCAGCCCATGCTGGAAAACCACCCGGGCGTCATTGCTCCCTCCTCAGGCTGCCCGCTGCCGCGCCCAAACGCCGACACGATCGTCAGTTCAGCATCGCGTCGCGCGCGCTACCGATCACGGCGTCGACGAAATGCTCCTGGTCGCTGCTGTGACAGCGACCCATGGAAGACCAAGTCGGCCACCCGTGCAAAAAGCCCGGAACACCCGAAATTCACCGGATCCGTCACCACGCGCGGCCTACCGACTCGTACTGGTGGCATTACCGACGAGTTGCGTCCCGGTCAGCTCCAGCAGCCCGCAGCGCAAACACACGCAGCGGCCGCACAATGCCCCCAGCACTGTTCTTCCCATGGAGGTACCCGAGCAACGTCATCAGTGACGGCACCTGCTGCAGCCGGCTCAGCCACCACCAACAGGCTCATTGGCGCACCGGTCGACGGCGCACTGGGCTCGCGTGCCTTGGCGTGCCGGATCCTCAATGCGCTCCTGGTACTGCGGGCGGGTACAGCCACATGACCGCCGGCCGTCGTCACAAACGTCGTAACCAAGGCCTTGACCACCATCATGGTGAAAATCCGGGGTATTGATAACACCGGCCTGCAGCCCGATATTCAGCACAATCAGCTCCACCAGGCCCTTGCAGTTCATCAGGAACCCGATCGTCAGCGACTCGCGCCACGTAAACGCGCTCCACTTGGCCGCCAGTGTGCATCCAACGATCTTGCCAAAGAACGCCACAAAGCAAATCAGAATCAGCAGCCCCCACGTCTTGCCGTCATTCAGATCCGACAGGTTCGTGTTCAGGCCAGACAGGGCAAAGTATATCGGCAGGAAGAATATCTGCACCATGTCCTCGATCTTCTCCGTCACCCTGATTGCGAACCCGCCGTCGTGCGGCACAATAACGCCCACCAAGAACCCGCCAAAGATCGCGTGGATCCCGATAATGTCCGTGAAGTACGCCGACACCAGTACCAAAAAAGAACGTCACAAACAGCACCATCTGCGATGGCTCGCGCCCCTGCAAACACCCGTTGCGACGCAGATACCAGAAATACACCGGCCGCACCGCAAACAGAACAAACAGTGTCCACCCCAGACCCACCAAGAACACCCACAGCGCGCTCAGCCCCGAACCATTATTCGTCAGCGCAATCACCAGTGCCAGCAGACACCACGACACCACGTCGTCAATGGCCGCCGCCGAAATCGAAATCGAGCCAACTGTGGTCTTGAGCAGATTCTGCTCAGTCAGAATCCGCGCCAGCACAGGAAACGCCGTGATTGCCATGGCCACGCCACAGAACAGCATAAAGTTCACGAAGCTACCCTCCTTCTCGATCATATGGAACAAGGCGTAGCTAGTCGCTATGCCCCAGTGCAAACGGCAGGACCATGCCTGCCACACTGATCGCCACGCTGCGATGCAAGTTGCGCTTGAGGATCTTTGGGTCCAGCTCGAGCCCCACCATGAACAGAAACAGCACCAGACCAAAGTTCGCCACCAAGTTCAGGTTTACCATCGAATCCTTCGGGAACACGTTGGTACTGAACGCCTTCCACCGCCCGAGCACCGTCGGGCCAAGCATAATGCCGCCCAGAATCTCAGAGATGACCGGTCGGCTGGTTTATGCGCTTGAATATCAGATGCAGCCCGCGCGTGATACAAATGATGATGAGGATCTGGACGATGAACAGCGTCAACGGGCTGCTGGTCGTGTAGGCGATCGGGTTGCGACCCGAGATGATGCTGGGTGGTGCGCTGCCGCCAGCCATTATAGATAATTATGAAACGTAATAGCCTATTATAAAAAGGGAAGGGAATAATGACGCCTGCTGCTTTGGAAAATAAAGGGTGAAGAGGAAAAACGGGGCGGTTTGGCGAGCCCCACTGGCATTTATGTACGCTCTGCTGGCTGATGTTCCTGGGCGCCCACGCTACGAACAAAAATCAGTGTTTATGGCCAAAAACTCCAATTGGCTCGCACTGTTTTTCTCTTTCTTTTGCCCAATTCTAGCTAGAATGACCCGGCCGTCCTGCTCTACCGGGTGCAAAAAAGATCAAGTGATCGGCAGGTAAAGAAAAGCGCCCAAGCCAGCGTCTTTCTATTTGTTCTGCTTATGTACATTCCGGGCACATGCACGGCAATGTCTGTGGAGAAGCACGCAACAACCGAGCGGTTTATGTCCCTAGCCCCGGACCAAGCAAACAATGTAGCTTTTCTGCCTGTGTTCTTCCATGGAAAACCCATTCAAGTGTGCTCTCGGTCAACCACAGCATTTCCCGCTTGCTCGGTGTCTAGCTCAGATTTTTCACTCATGCTTCTCCTTTCTCACCGCCAATCCCCCATGATGCCATTACAACATTATACCGCATTCTCATACCTGTTCTATTTGCAGAGTCATGCTGCCTGCCAATCTTGCGTCCACAGCAAAATCGAGGCACAAGCATACTATTTCTCTTTCTACCTCATGTGAATGATGTACGGTGGAGCGACATTTGGCAATCATTGCCTCATAGCTATGGATTCCAAATTACACTCTTAGAACGGGTATTCTCACATGAGCCCCCCACCTCTGTGCTGTTTGGACGATCTGCATTACCATGGGTCACCCCCACCGCTGATTGTCTGCATTGCAAGCCAATGGCCGCAGGCGCTGGCCGCACATTTGCATAGGAACAGGACGGAGCACACCCCGGGCCGTTCACAATACCAGCGTCACGCGTTTGGACAAAAAACCAATGCTCTGCCAAGGATGCATGGCAGCAGGTGTCCAAACGGCTGTCTATAAGTGTATTTTGGAAATATGTAAGAACAGAAGGATGAATAACAGAAGGGAAAGCTTAAAATCAGGTACGTCTATCAGCAAGTCGCAGGCACATCGTGTTCTTTTTAGAACATGCGTCCGCCAGAGTCACGCCTCTTGGCCACAATGTGCATTGGGCCACGGTGCTTGGCCACCACTTCCATGACCGACTTGCTGCCGGATTCGGGCGCATACAGCATGACGAACACCACACCGAGCAAGGAGAATCCGGCAAACAGCAGGAATTGGTACTGTGCCAGGTACCACTGGATCATTGGGAACACAAACCCACTGGCAAACGAGAACAGCCAGTTGACTGCACATGCAACCGCCATGACGCCGCCCAAGGCATACCCGGGCACCAGCTCCGGCAGATACAGCCACGGAATCGTGCCTACGCCCAGATTGAACAGGAAGTAGTAGATATACAGCATCACCACCACAATCAGGCCCTTGCCAAAGAACATGCCAATGAAGATCAGCACGCTGGCCACCACCATGCCGGTGAAGCTGACCAGAAGCATCGACCGGCGCCCGAGCTTGTCCAGCCACACCATACACAGCAGCACCGCCGGCACCGCTGACGCAGTCACGCCAACGCACGCCCACTTGGCCACCATCGGCTGCGCATTGTCGAACAGGCCCAGGAATATCGAGTTTGAGTAGAATATGATTCCGTTGATGCCTGACAGCTGCTGCAATCCCATCAGGCCCACACACACCACAAACAGATGCCGCAGATCGTCCTTGGTCAGCCCACGCATCGTCCGCCACAGCCCCGCCCGGGGCTGGGCTTTTCCCCGCCACCAGCCGCCTTGATAGTCGCGTCGCTCTCGCTGGCCCCCTGCCCGGCCTTGCCCTCCTGGCGGACCGTCGTCGGGATCGTCTCGCGCGCCTCATCCAATGCGTCAATGCAGTCCTGCCACTCGGCCGACACGTCGTAGCCGCGACGCAGCTTGAGCAGCGCATGCCGAGCCTCGTTCACCTGGTGGGTCTTGATCAGATACACCGGTGACTCGACGCGGAACGGCAGCAGCACGATCTGGATCAATGAAATGGCGCCCGGGATCGCCACCAGGATCCGCCACTCGGGGTGGCCCGTCAGGAACATCGACGCAATCTGCGCGCCCATGATGCCCAGGACGACCGCCAGCTGGAAGAACGACCCAAAGAACCCGCGCCGCTTGATCGGCGCAATCT